CACTGAGGCCACCTGAGCCTCGAGCGATAGCAAAGGATCCAGGAGTACCCCCAAGCTACGAACCTGCTCCTTCAGAGGAAGTGTAACCCCATCAAGAGCAGATGATCGCCCACCCATCCAGTCTAGGCAACCACCCACTAACAGTTCCTCAGTCTTATCTGAGTTGGCCCACTTAGTACTGAACTAAATGGACCAAGTGCTCCATCACAATTCATATGTCCACTTTAACTGGCAACTACGGTTTCAGCTTTAAAGTCAGCTAGGGTCCCTCCTTACTTCTGAACCTCTGTTAAATCACCATAAAAAGAGAACAGCAGCCACTGACAGTTGACTTTTTGGAACGCAGAGAGGTATTGATGACTGAACTTCTGAGCACAGCTGCTTCTGTGAGCTTTGGGAGCTGTTTGATTTGTTGATGCTTCTGTACTTTGATTCCTTTGTCATTTAAATCCCTATTCATCAGATTGTAAATATTGTGCTGTGAGTGAGATAAAATAGTTGCCTTTGTCTAGCTCTCATCACTTCACTCCAAAGAGGGGTGGAAAACAAAAACTGGGCTCTGATGGAAGCTGTTGTTGCCCTGTTGCTGAGAAGCAAGTTTGGAAAGCTTCTTTTACCATCTTTGGGTAACTTCATAAAATGAAAAGGGGGGCACATATTTGTTGGCACTGCTGCGGTGGATTGATCCCCAAGAAACAGAAAGAATGAAGTTTCAGCCCATACTTTAAAATGTTGAGTGATAGCCACCTAACACATTTCATCATTGCAAGGATTTCTGCTTGCACAACACAACTTGCCCCCATCTCCTCTCCCTGGTGTGTGCCTTGTGCCTCCTCCCCCCAAAAAACCCCTGCTCTGGAGGGTTGAAGAGAAACCCCAATGTACAAGTGGAAATCTTTGCACTGATGTAATAAGTTAGATACCAACCATTGTTGATGTTCCTATTGTCTTATGTGTATATTGCGATTGTTGATGTTCCTAGTGTCTTATGTGTATATTGCGATATATAAACTACATATAGATTGGGATCACCAACCATTTGGGCAAACCAGTGGAACTGTTGTGGGCAATGTTGATGATGGAAGTTGTAGCCCAACAGATTCGCCACCCCTTGCTCTACTAGTTTGCCTCAAATAAGAGCTTCATCAATAGATACCTTGGTCCCTCAGTACTTTCAGATATGTACTGCTAGAATAAAAGATCTTGCCTGCCAATGCTCTTCCAAAAAAGCAGCCTACAAAAGTAGTGTCTCCAAAGGGAATATTAAAAGTGTATTTAAGTGAACTCTGCTCCTCTAGTGGAATTCAACAAAATCCAGCTGCTGGATCAAAATACTGAGAAATATTTCATACCACCTATGCTACCCAAAATTTATTCCCTGGGATCAGGGGAAAGTATTTCCTTTTAATACATTTGTTCAACTCCTTAGGAGCAAAACACAACTGTAGCATCTTATGGTACTATTATTATTATTATTATTATTAGTAGTAGTAGTAGTAGTAGTAGTATTGCTAGTGAGTGCATCTATTCTGAAGGTACCTCTCTCTCGTTAGTTATTTTCTGGGACTCCAAAAAGCTCAGTTTCCTTAATCTACATTAACATATATTTCAGATGCCTTTAAGGCTTACCAATTAAAAATGAAAACAAACATAATTAATTAATAAAAGCTGATGATTATAACTACAGGAAACTAATATGTTATTTACTTATAAAAATATATTCGTAAAAATATCAAAGTGATTTACAACAATTACGCATAAAAAACGTATAAAGTTTAAAAACAGACATCAATTAATCATTGTCGAAAGACATATTCTTCTTAATTGCCTGCAGAAACCTGACAAAATAGAAAAGTTTTCAGCAGGCATTTAAAAGTTGAAACAGAAGGCACCTGATGAATCTCTGTTGGCAGAGCATTCCACAATACTGGGGCGATGACATTATAAAGACTCAGGTTCTTGTTGTCCATTGAGCCTCGCCAGCTTGGAGAATGACCAGCGATGCTCCTACAGATTATCTCAGTGATCAAAATGAGATATATGAGTTCAGGTACCCTGGACCTGCATTGCTCAGGGCTGCGTCGCTCAAGGACTTGGAACTGGCTTGGTAGTAGATGTGCAGCCGGTGGAAATGTTTTAACAATGGTGTCATATGTTGTCCACCCCCCTCAGGAGTCTGACTTCCACTGACTCTCTGTGTGGACTTCCTTGATATGTTGGCCTACTGCTAAATAATAATAATAATAATAATAATAATAATAATAATAATAATACCCTGCCTATCTGACTGGGTTGCCACAGCCACTCTGGGTGGCTTCCAACATATGTAAAAACATTACACCTTAAAAAGCTTCCCTATACAGGGCTGCCTTCACATGTCTTCTAAAGATTATATAGTTACTTATCTCCTTGACACCTGACAGGGGGGCGTTCCACAGGGTGGGTGCTATTACTGAGAAGGTCCTCTGCTTGGTTCCCTGTAACCTCACTTATCACAGTGAGGGAACCACCAGAAGGCCCTCAGAGGAGGACCTCAGTGTCCAGGCAGAATGGTGGGGGTGGAGATGCTCATTCAGGTATACAGGACCGAGGCTGTTTAGGACTTTAAAGGTCAGCACCAACACTTTGAATTGTGCTTGCTGTCTGCTTGCTGTCTTTGTTGCATTCTGTTCCATCAGATGTAATGACATCTCTCTCTCTCTCTCTCTCTCTCTCTCTCTCTCTCTTAACAATCCTGCTGATTATCTCAAATTCCTAGCATATTTTGACTTCATTGTCTAAACTGAGTTCCATATTTTCTAGAAACCTAATTATTCCTTTCCTTTTTACTTCCCAGCCTCCTTCTTCCCTTTCTCTTTCTTTTCCTTGCCTTTCCTCCCTTTCCTTTCTTCATTTTTACCCCTTCCTTCCTTCGATCTCCAATTTCAATCACAAGCTCGTCTGTTATGATGAAGTTCTGGCTTACCAGTTTCAAGCCTGTTTAAAATCTTTCAAGTTACTTGCCTCGTATCTGTGTCCTCTTGTGAAACTTGGTATCTCTCAAATGTTTCCCTTTCCTTTGGTATGTAAAACTCTGCACACTTCTGCATATGAGTATCCTGGCAAACCCTCTCATCCAGACTCGGCTGTATGCTATTAAAAACATCAACTGCTTTGGTCTCTGCATTATTCAGGAATATAGCTGCCTTCTGCTCATCTTCTTTTTTTATTATAACTGTGTGTGTATCAAAACGTCATTCAAATCTTTCTCAAAATTCTGTAGCACTACAAACCACAGCATTCAGTTCTTTAGAGGCTTTCAGATGTACTTTCTCTGCAACTCCCCCCATTCTCTCTTTGAATTAAGCTCCCCCTACCCTTTGGCACCTAATTCCTGGTACCATGTGAGGTTCTGCTTTCATAGAATTATAAAACTGTAGACCTGGACGGTATCCCAAGGGTCATCTAGTCTAACAGGCACAACAGGCAATACAGGCACAACTAAAAAATCCCTAGCAGATGTTTGGTTCAGGTTGATTAATGTTAGGGGACTGAAATGGTTTGATTCAAAGTAGGCCAACATTGTCTGCTCAAAACCACCCTGGCCTTCAAGTTCTGTTGGCTAGAATCAGTGCTGTGAGGTAACACAAGGAGACAACTGACTTTTCCCCATCCAAAGAACTCACAAAATGAGAGTTAACTCTGTTTAGAGTCAGCAAGCCAAGAGGGGTGGTGATGTTGCCTACCAGATCTGAGGGAGGTTTTCCTCCATGTTAGTTGTATGTTTCTTTGCTATGGATTACTGAATTACTGAATTACTAAGAAAGATAAAACGTTTCGCTTTGTTACTTCCCATATTATGTGCAGGTTTTGTTCAGTTTACCCAGTAAAGTATTATCAGTTTCTTTTCTCATTAGATTCTGTCTGCATTACGGTATTTAAGTGATTCTGCTAACACCTTCTTCCCCAACCCGCCCTGCAATCTTCAACTATGTAAAATTAAAGGCATGTACATTAGCGCTGTTGACTGAATTAATGTTATGGAATTACTCAACGTATGTCTAAGCAGTCTGATCGAGATGAAAGGAGTTTCTGTCCATCCAGCAATTCGTCTCCTGGACTTTTATAAATTCCATTCAGTCAAATTACAAGTCTTCCTTATCATTGGCAGATCATTCTTTTTTTAGAAAGCAGCCTCAGGTTACATGCATATTGGATTACTGCACATCAAAGAGATTAAAATAGGTGTGTTAAAAAGATAAGTCCCCCCCCCATCCTTTCCCATGGTACTTGCGAGGAATTACATTAAAAATACCCTGCACAGAAGACAGAAAAAAAGGATTCAAAGCTACAAATTGGAAGGAGCCATGCATGGACAACTGCAGACTGGCTGAAAGATCTCTGGTGACAGTTTATGCTCCTGTTTTTGTGTTTTACTTTAATGGGTTTTTATGGCATCGTGCAGAAAGAGAAATGTAAGCATATAAGAAAAGAAACCAGCAAGACATTACCTACCGAGTCTCGTTTTCTTGTTGTTTTAATGAAAAACTACACATTTCCTCTGCAGCCTACATATTCTCATAAGGCTTTCTTTGACAGTCTCTGTTACAGATGTGCAGGCCTCCTGCTGGCTGCTTGAAAAGGGTCAAGGCTTTCCAAGCATCAAGACGGAAGGCTCAAAAAAAGGACACTCACAACGCCACTGCTACCTTCCCAGGGTGTTTCTGAGTCGGGAATGAACAGGTCATTGAGCGATCACAAATGGGTTTTGTAAACCCCCCCCCCCCGGGAAAATCTGGATTAAAATGAGGGGGAACTATGAGCCGGCATTTTGACAATGCTAACACCATGTGGATGCTGCAGAAAAGTGCATGCGTGAGAAGCACCCACCCCATAATAAACGCCCAGCAGCAGAGATTTAGGATCAGAGTTTCCCTTCTCCTAGATGGTGTCAGGGTGCTGTCAGCGGCTCCCAGCTGGTTTCCCAGGAAATTATAAAGACAAGGAAAAGTTTCTTAGTCCTTTATTTCAAACCTTACAGAGAGAGGCTATAGAGACCAGCCTCTTGGATAATGGCATTGTCCTGACTGAATCTCCACCTCCTGGCCTCTCCCACTTCCTCGTCGTCATCATCATCATCATCATCACCTCCTCTACAGGTGCTGCTAGGTGTCCTCTGTCTTTATGCTCTTTGCTCTCCTACTTCTAAGGCTCGCCAAGTTCTGGGAGATGATGGGTCTGGAATGCTTTCTAGTGATAACATGTCAGCCAGCTGCTGTTCCGTCTCTGCCTGCTCCTCCTCTCCTATTATTTCCCAACTTTCCCCCTCATCTGCCTCTGAGCTCTGACCTCCAGCAAAGCACTGTTGTCCATTTATACTGTCTTCCTCTTCCTCCTCCCTCGAAGGGTCAGGATGAGGAGGTGGTCTCCACCATTCCTCCTCTGCCCAGTCCCTGACAGATGGGCTACCTTCCCAGGTGGATGAGCCCCATCTGCCCCTCGCTTCCCTCTACAGCACGTGCAGAAACCGCCTTCTTGACCATTGGACCCACTCTTGGTCTTGTCTGCTCAATCCACCAGAGCCTGTCTTTGTGTGCTGAGGAAGTCCCTAACTCATTGAGGGTTTAGCCAGCCAGTCGAATCCATTCCCAGGGTGTGGCCACTGTTGCATGCTGACAGCTTCTAGGAGTCACAGGTGAGAACTGAGTGCAGGATGGGGAACCAAGGTGGTCAAACTATCCCAGAAGGAGCACAATGTGTTCCCTTCACCAGAGGTACTACCCCTCCCCCAACACCCCCTCTCCATGTATACTGGCAGTATTCCTTTGAATAATTTTGTGGCGTTCATACGGAGCTCCCGGTTGTCTCACGGATTATTGACCCGTGCACCACTAATCCACTGCTACCAACCAGGTCCTCCCCAGTAAATCACTTAGCCCCTCAATCAGTTTCTCAAGTTAACAAAGAAGAGTGTAGTTTATTGCAGACACAAATAAACTTTAACTGCATTCAAAACGTTGTTACTCTTTACCTTCTTAGTCTTATTTTTATCCTGTCTCTAACTCTTCTACCTCCCCTCACAAAAGAACCAACTGCGCTGTCTCTCTAATTCCAACTGTCTCCCAACTGCTCTCCCAACTGCCTTTTCCCAACCAACCAACCCAAACCTCGGGCTAAGCCCTTTTATAAACAGGTAGGCTCCGCCTCTGGCTTTTCTATTGGTCTACCTATTAACTCTTTCTATCCCCCTGTACAGACATTTTAAAAAAGAACGGGCAAATGCCACAACCAGAGATTGGAGACAGTCACCAGGGGGGACAACCACCATCACATACACTCTGGTTTTGACCTCCTCGAAAGAATTGCTGGCCTGCTCTTGGAAAGATAATGTTAAGGCCATCTGCATATTTGTCGGCGCTTGCACTGGAGAACATTTCAGTGGGTGTTTATGTGATCTGGGGCCACTGAGCTCATCCTTGTTCCACTTTGTTTGAGGCTTCCCCTGCATGTAAGTGGGAATGTCTGCAGCGACTGCTATAAAAAGTGTGTGTGTGTGTGTGTGGATGATCTTGGTTAACCTAAACAGATCTGTGTGTCCCAGTTTGGCATGGAAAAGGATGCTTTTATTAGAGCTGTCATTCATGGGCTTCAAAATTGGCTTCAGACTGAGCCCCATTAATTTTCAAAGCCGAATCACAAGAGGTAGGGAGAGAGGTGGAAGAGCAAGTGCAACAAAGGACAGGGACTTGCCTTGATGTGCCCAGGCTGATCTGAAGAGGGGGTGAGGTGGTGAAGGAAGCCATTTCATTACTTGCACTTGTGTGTGTGTTTTTTAAAATTTTAAGTGTCAGATTTAACCCTACTATTAGGCAACCTCTTTTCATCCCCCGTCTGCATTACAGGAGAATTCATGTCAAGCCTTCGAAAGAGCTACAATATGTTTATTTGTCTGAGGTTTTTGTCGGAATGTTTTCCCCCCCTTAGTCGGAGTTGATATGCAAATGAGTGTCATGATTTCTCTTTTCTTTCTCCAATTAAGGGTAGAATAATTATAAGAGGAAAACCAGGTGTTGCAGTCACGCTTGTTGCCCATGCAGTTATAGGTCTTTGCAAAATAGGGGGACTTTTGGTTGTGAGGCAAGTGAGCTTGCCAATCAAATCCCACTTCGATAAATGATTAAGTATGCAGAAATGTTTTAAGTCTCTACTGTTGCATATTTATCTAGGGCAGCACTGGGGGGGGGGGGAGAAGAGGGAGAGGTTATTCTGTTTAAATGGGATTTTAAAATTTTCTTTTTCGTATTATTCTTTTCAAATGTTTGTCCCTGCCTCGTTCCAAGGGCTCAGAATTGTTAGAGCACACCCATCATTCATATTTTCTTCACCACAATCTTTTGGGGTGCGTTAGGCTACGAAAAAGCATTTTGCCCAAAGTCAACCTATAACCTTCAAAAAAAACTGATTAGGTATTATTTCATTTCACTTTTAATCTGAATACTATCTTTCCATATTACTATACAAAAGCTGGTTTACAAGCTGAAGAAACAGCAAAGATCACACATCTTATAACAATATGAGAATGTCAAAATAAAAACATAACTTTAAAATAAACAATTTATGTCAAATAAAGTAATATTCAATAACCCAGCAGAGCCGAATGGTACACAATAAAATTAAATATCAGCAAATAATAATTAAGCAGAAATTCACTCAATTTCAATAAAAATAACAGCATAATATAGCACAATACAAATTGAGAAGCAAAGACACACAACGTATAAAACTATTAAATATATATATATATATCCCTGAACTCTTCTTAATATGTCTACATTGTGAGCAGAAAGTCTTCCAAGGTCACTATAATGGCTTCCTGGACCTCTGAAACCTTCTTTTTAGAAACTGACATGGTCAAAAATGCATGATGATCCTTGTTATGTGAGGAGTTATTAATCTTTTCATTAAGTGTTTCTTGGAACTCTGAATCATGTTATGCTAAATGAATGCACTGGGAGGGGAGAGGGAGGGGAGCACTGAAAAGCACCTGTGTTTTATTACAGAGCCAAGGCACACCATACCCCTAATGAAGCTATTTGCATTCGGAAGGTCTTCTGGCATTTAGTAGAAATGAAGAGGTGTGCCAAATGTAGAGTCTCTGCTACTGTAAAAAAACTGCACAGTCCATTTTATGACTATCATCTGGGCTGGCTTTAATGCATGGTAGGCACATCTGCTACCCAAAGCTCACTGGACTTCAATCACATTGACCATGTGCTCTTGAAGATGGTGACAGAAGAACTGCTACATCTGTAACTGCACAAAGATCTACAAGCACTGCACCATCTCTCCGACTGCTGTCGTGGTGATAGTCTTACCCCTCTATAAATATCCTACCCTCCAACATTTCTCCGATGAAAATAGGGACATATCATCATCATCAATAACAACTGTGTTTTTTTCTGGGAGTACACAGGGGTACGCATACCCCTAAACATTTTGTGAATCTAAGTTTGGCCTCATTGAAGGGCAATATTTCAATATGAGTAGGAAAATGAGAGTACCCCTAAATATATATATTTTTAGGAAAAAAGCACTGGTTATTATTATTATTATTATTCAATTTATACCTTGCCCATCAGACTGGATTGCCCCAGCCACTCTGGGCAGCTTCTCACATATATAAAACTATAATAAAACATTTAAAAAAAAAACAAAAACCTTCCCTATACAGGGCTGCCTTCAGATGGCTCAGGGGTCGGATAACTCCATACCCTGCAAAATTTCTCCTATGAAAATAGGGGCATCCTAAGGAAAAGCAGGATATTCCAGGATCAAATCAGAAACCAGGATGGCTTCTGTAAATCCAGGACTGTCCCTGGAAAATAGGGACATTTGGAGAGTCTGTAAATCTTTCTTAGGGATCTGTAATTTCTCTTCAGGGCATTGAGAGGAAGTTTGTTTATCACCAGTTTGAAGGACCAGTGTGATAGTAGAATAAAATAATCTGATGGGAGATTGTCCACCAGCTGTCCCAGCATGGGAGAATACAGTTCCTTTGTTGAATAGCTTTAGCACATATCTGAATGAGGAGGTTTATTCATTCCACATGACACCTTCAGCTGTTCCCATACAGATCTGTTGCATAGATAAGTATAGATGAAAGTCAGACATGAGATATGTAGTCATCAAGACCCAATGGTGGTTTAGGATTATTGATGATTCAAGAGCTACAAATGGTCCACAGTTCACAATCAGCTACCCATTAGAGTGCAAAGTTCTGCAGTAAAGAAATTATGTCATTTGTCTAGACTCTTAAAGACTCCACACAGAAAGTACAAAACCTCTCCTGGTTTGAGGAGAATTCTGTCATTATAACTGTCTTCTCGGGGGAGGGGAGGGAGGATAGAATGTCTCCCCATTGGATTATTTCATTCCACTACGCCAGTGTACCAGCGTTGATATCTGCTTCTGGGTTCAGATGACAAGAAAGTGTCTCAGACGGTGGTTATCTCTCTCCTTCCTTAGAGGTTTTTAAGCATACACTCAATGGCCACCTATCAGAGATGATGTAACAGTAGATTTCCTCCACTGGCAGGATGTATGGAAGTGAGATAGTGATGTGTGGAAGTGAGAGCTGGACCATAAAGAAGGCAGATTGCCGACGAATTGATACTTTTGAATTATGGTGCTGGAGGAGACTCTTGAGAGTCCCATGGAATGCAAGAAGATCAAACCTCTCCATTCTTAAGGAAATCAGCCCTGAGTGCTCACTGGAAGGACAGATCCTGAAGCTAAGGCTCCAATACTTTGGCCACCTCATGAGAAGAGAAGACTCTCTGGAAAAGACCCTGATGTTGGGAAAGATGGAGGGCACAAGGAGAAGGAGACGACAGAGGACAAGATGGTTGGACAGTGTTCTCGAAGCTACCAGCATGAGTTTGACCAAACTGCGGGAGGCAGCAGAAGACAGGAGTGCCTGGCGCGCTCTGGTCCATGGGGTCACGAAGAGTCGGACACGACTAAACAACAACAACAAGCATAAAAACAGATGTAATGATTGTCGAGGAAAGTCAAGAAGATGGTGTTGTCATGTCTGAATTTTTATTTTTTAAAAATAGAAAATATGGGTTCCCATCATCCTATATCATTACAGGGAACTACTTCCAGTTTCCTTTTTCCAGGTGCTGTGAAACGCAATGAGACACGAGCTACAGAGAGCAGAGAATTGTCAAGGGACCTCAAATATGCTTGGGTTCTGAGGTATGCTAGGACTGAGAAGCGATTCTTAACAAAGGCCTCTGTGGTGCCTTCCAATTCTGGAATTATCAAAGGAACAACCGGCTCCCTATGAAAGGAAATACTTGATACTTGCATCAGCTTTAATTTGGGGCATATGTTATGCATACACATTTCAAAAAAACGAATTGGAACGCTTGTTCTGAAATGGATTTCATTTGGTTTTTCATTTTGGCTAGTCCTCTGCAGTACTGAGTGCCAGGGGGAATAGCTGGAGATAGAGAATTATATGGTAAATTATATGCTTGTTTAGTGCAGCAGTAAAATGAAATATGACAACAGGAAAACCTACAAATGCCAGCTGGTGATAGTAAGAAAATAAGAGCAGAAAAAGTTTTTTATTCTTGTAAAACTTGCCTGACCCAAGTGAACTTGATGGTGGTGGTGAACCTGAGACACTGCAGTTTGACTTTACCGTCAGAAATACTTCACTCAAAAAATGACCCTTAAATATATGATCTTAACAATGTTCATCCTCGTGTCACTCATAATGTTTCTTTACCTAATAATTTCCATGTTTTAAGATACACTGAAACAGAAGTCACCAGAGCCTTATATATAGTGGGAGGGTGGCGTGGGGTTTTTCTCAGAAGGGTAGTAGGAGATGGGTGATTGACTCAATGGGTATCGTCAGCTGAATTACAACTTATTACTAAACTGAAAACTATGGAGAGACTTGGTATGAACAGAGATATTGGATTCTTGTCTCATTACATATGCTAAAGCTATTTTTGGTCATCTGCATACTATCCCTTGCTTTTTCCTGTAGGACTAACTGCAGTTGTTAACAGTTGTCAACAAGTTTACCATACCCATTGAGTCAATCACCCATCTCCTACTACCCTTATGAGAAAAAACCCACCCCACCCTCCCACTATATATAAGGGTCTGGTGACTTCTGTTTCAGTGTATCTGAAGAAGTGTGCATGCACACAAAAGCTTATACCCAGAACAAACTTGGTTGGTCTCTAAGGTGCTACTGGACAATTTATTTATTTATTTTTATTTATTTCAACTGCGTCAGACCAACACAGCTACCTACCTGAATCATGTTTTAAGAGTCGCTTATTAAAGTATAGTGGGATATAGCAGAGGTTTAGCACTTGTTTCCATATTACTTCCAGCAAATAATGCAGCCCAGTTAACCTACAGAGAAAACGCTATATTTCTCCATGGGTCATTCCATGTGACAAAATTTCAGACAATATTCCAGCATCCCGTTCTTTCCAG